GATCACTTGAAATCCGTAAAATAGCTCTCCCTCCGAATCATCCCCTATTCGCTAGTTGCTACCTCAACATCGGTATGGTGTATGATAATATGGGCGAGTACTCAAAAGCACTTTCATTTCTTGAAAAAGCACATGAAATTGATTGTAAAACTTTGCCACCAAATCATCCACATATCGCACAATCGAAAAGAAACATTGAAATTGTAAAAAAGAAAATGTAATTGTTTTTTTTTTAAACAAGAAAATAAATCGGCCTTCTTGAACCCAAGGCTCGCCGATGCAAGCAGCTACAAACATTTCGCGCACGCGCGACCAGAGATACCATCCGTATTCTGCTGGCTCGTACAGTGGACAAAGCCGGCAATGGTTAGGCAAACATACATCGATGTCTGTACGAATAGTACGACCATGGTCATCATCTTCGAAAAGATGATGACGAAATGGACGCTTCTATTCATACATACATTAATGTATGTTGTGAAGGCCTACCATCTGCACGCCTGCACGCGTCATCAGCAGAACGTCGGATATCCCTGGGAAGGTTCATTTTCCCTAGACTGAAAGGCTAGGGTCTAGAAACCGAAATTCACCTGTGTCTGTCTGTCTGTCGGTAACGCGGTCAAAATGGCCATTTTCTGGCACAAACGGCCATTTTTTTACTAAAATTAACTAGGTAACTATGGCACAAACGGTCATTTTTTTGGTACAAACGACCACGTAACTATGGCACAGGTGACCATATAGCAACCATGGTACAAACAACTATTCCGGTAACTATGGCACAAATGACCATCTAAAGACTGATGTAAATGAACCCATAATAATCATCGGTAAAATGTCGATGAAATAACTATAATTCGGGTAGTGGTGTAAAACGGCTTACAAAAGCATTTAATTAGTGAGAGTCAGGCCAAATGAGCAGTATGGATTTAAAGAAATCGTTTAAATTATTCATTATTGTAGGATTGATTGTGCAATGTTGTATCAATGAATATCTAATTTATTAATAGTTTAGAATTAACGCGCGAATTGAAGCATAAAATATTGATTAATAAAACTCAAATTTTATGAATAATATAATTCATATTTTTGTACATACAAATAGCGTCAATATAATTACAAAAAAAATCGTATTCTTGTCTAATCTTATTGGGCGCTATTTATATTTATAAAAGCAAAAAAATAAAATAAAACAAAAACGACAAAAAAAATTCAATTTGTAAAATGCATTATCTTTACTTAGAGTAGGGATGCACCAGTCCCAGTTCTGACTGGTGAACTGGGTGCCCAGTCCGACTGGGTACTGAGTCCTTTGATATTTAGTCCATTAGTCAAGTAGTACTTTCTTTTCGAGTATATTGCCATAGAGTGATTTTTAGGCTGTTGAAGTAGTGAAATAAGTTATGATACTAAATCCATTGGCTAATCATATATTTCTATATATCAATCGTTATAATTTACAATACTGTAAATGAATTTCATGTTTTCAGGGTGTGGGTATGGCTAGGGTGTAGATGTGCGTGGGTGGCTTGTGGATGTGAGTGTTGTTTGGATGGATATGGGTGTGGATGTTGTTTGGATGCGGGAATAGTTAGAATGGCAATAACGACACCCATACCAACGTCAAACCAACCTCCAGACCCACATCCTTAGAAAAGAGGGAAGTATCGATAGATTAGCGAAATAAACGTCAAATGACTAAGTACCCAGTCGGACTGGGCATCCAGTCCGACTGGGACCCAGTTACTGGCACTGGTGCACACCTAACTTAGAGTGAGAATTCTCCAAATTAAGTTTTCTGCTCGCCTAAGATATACTGGTAATATTATCAATTTTGCGTATTACTTTTTTAATGTAGCTTTTTATGCTATTACATCCGTACATGTATTCTATCAGTCTAGGGCTAAGTGAATCGCTTGACGATGAACGTTACTTGTTACCTTACACTGGAATTAATATAAATTATTCAGAGTAAAAACAACAAATTACCGATCTTTAATTTTTTTTAAAACTCAAATTTTTTGAAAAACAAACTTCAAAGATAGAAATACTCTGTTTTATTCTTTTATAGTTTTACCAGAGTCGAATTTTAAAAGTTGTTCTGTTCGAAAGAGAAATTTGCTTTTAATTTTGAGATTTGTGTCAATTACTTAGAAGATGGTAATTAACTTCTAAGTATGGTGAAATTTTTAGTGGTGTGCGTGTGAATTTAAATATGAGTATTTCAATAATCCAAATCATAACTCACAGAAAAATCCACATAATCACAGCGACCATAGGCGGCGGAAAGATTTCACTCTAGAGTAGGCTCAGCTTTTCAGATAAACCAGGTCTGTCTACGTAAAAAAATAGAGTTGAAATCAGATTAAAATCGGGTAATAGCCGATAAAAAATGGATTGTCATCCTACGATTTTGATCAATTTTTAATCATTTTTTAACCGATTTTTATTGAAAATAACCGAAAAAATCAAAATTTCATTGATTATTACGATTCGTTCTCGCTAAAACGTTATAAAAAATTAATAAGATTGATGCAAACCGGTAAAATTCGCGTGAAGAC